CAAAGGTATCAAAGTGCTCAAATTGCGCGGGACCTCATCACTCAAATGAGGGTAGCTGTATGGCCCGGCCAAGACGACAAAACGGGATAATTCTGCCCCGCTCCCCAGCAGAACTTCACATCATCAGAGAACACGGACATCGTGATTATCACGCTGCTCTAGCGTACTATGAAAGGAAGGGTAAGGCGGTTGAAACCGTCATTGCCCAGGACTCAACAATGTCGTGTTAATGTTAGGAAACCCCTTAACAAAAGCACCAAAAGACAAGCACAACACCGTCCACTTTCACCAAGTGAATATTGGAAGGGGTGGGGAAAACACGGATATAGCATTGCAGCAGGCATGGGATGCCGGTGCACATGTAGTCATGGTACAGGAACCATGGACAAGAAAGAAAGAGGGGGGTTTTATAACAAAAAGTCACCCTGGCTACAATAGCCATATACCATTCGGAGGAACAGACATCCGGCCCCGCGCGATTATTTTCACGCGCAAAGGTAGTCATGCGACTCAACTATCTCCACCGTTGTCAGGCCCGACATCTGACCACCGTTTTGTAAAGATGGGCAGCCTAGCCTTTGTCAACGTATACCGTGCCCCAGGCACTAGTGGAACCTTGGAGCCCCTACTCCGGTGGGAAGTTAGAGGTTTAGTGGTTGTTGGAGGCGATTTCAATTCTGCGTCACAGCATTGGCAACCGCAAACAACAAATCAGTACGGGAAAGGTAACCAGATTATGGAATGGGCAACAGCCCACAACATGGACCTAGTGAGCATTGTTGGAGAGACAACGCACAGGGATGGGAACGTCCTAGATCTAACGTAGAGCAACACGGCCACCATAGCATCAGTGTCTAACCGCTACCACTGTACCTCAGATAACTCGACCATCGAAGGTACCGTGCTTAACCCTACAGTGTCAGATCTCTCTGGAATTGTAAAGAACATTCGTGTCAGCGCCGCCAACTTGAAGGAATTTAGCTTATGCGTTAGCCAATGAACCAAATCTGGCCCTCTCAACAGTGTTGTCAACATCGAAAACTTCACAAATGATCTCCTACAAGCACTTGGAGATGCGCTCAAGATTGCAGGGAAAGTCCCAGCCATCGAAAGCGGAAGAACTGGGCCATGGTGGACCGATGAATGTCGCACAGAATGGTAAGAGTACAAGGCAGCGAGAGACAATCCTGACCTCGCGAAAGAGGCCCGCAAGAGCTTTAGAGCTGTGGTACGAAAAGCCAAGCGAGAGTACTGGAAGAGGCAAGTAGAGGCAGTGACTACTAACGCACAGGTATTTAAGCTCATGAGATGGGCTAAGCCTCGACCAGCCGCCGAGCCCTCTCCCCTGCAGATTGACGAAAACCGGTGGCTACCTGACCCGCGAGAGCGAGCTAGTGCACTACGAGACATTCTCTTGGCTAGGTTTAGCGGCGAGAACGACATCTCTATCTGGGAGAATGGACAGGAGGAGCGTATTCCATCGGATACAGAATTATCACTGGACGATATGACAAGCGCCACTGTCTCTGTCAACGACACGGCACCAGGAGCGGACAAGATAACGGTACGGTTACTGAAAGCCTGTTGGTCCCATCTAGGACCTCTCGTGAAAGATCTTTACCAGGCCTGTCTGAAAATCGGCTACTTTCCCACGGCCTTCAGGGTGGCAGAAGTTGTGCTTCTTCCAAAGCCGGGTAGAAATCTGTCAACTGCCAAGGGTTGGCGACCAATCTCGCCGTTGTCGAGTTTAGGTAAAGGGCTTGAGCACTTAGTTGGTAAGAGAATGGCGTGGATGACAATAAGTCATCGAGTTGTTCACCCACAATTATTCGGCTCCGTACCAGGACAATCTGCCGTCGATCTTGCATCCTGTGTAATCCATGATGCTGAGGCGGCCATGAGAAGTGGTAAGTGTGCAGCTATTGTTACATTAGACATTCAAGGTGCATTTGATGCAGTTCTTCACAACCGACTGATCAAACGCCTTCGAGAACTAGGCTGGCCACAATCCCTGTGCCGGTTTATTCAGACATTTCCTTGCCAAAGAAAGGTTCAGGTCAAATACCGCGGTGGAATCACAGAAGAAAAGATACTGGAATGTGGAGTACCTCAGGGCTCGCCACTATCGCTACTTCTTTTCATGCTCTACATCGCTGTGCTTTTTGAGGATCATGGTCTAACGAGCAGGTTTGGTTATGCTGACAATGTAGCTATTGTAAGAATTGGAAACACCGCGGCGGATGCTATCTCCGCAGCTCAAGACGACCTCGACAGCCTTATCCTTCTCGCAAGAGAACACAGGATCGATTTTGACCCAGCAAAGTCAGAACTTTTAGTGACCGGAGGAGGGCCTAGAAAGAAAATCAACGCGGCTAATCTTTCCATCTTGGTGAAAGATCGCCGGATCGAACCGTCACCTCATATCCGGTGGCTAGGAGTCTGGCTTGATACCCAGCTAAACTTCAAGCAACATGTATAGGAATGGACTGGAAAAGCTAATCGTCTAGTCCATTTCTTACGACATATAAACGGAGTTCAACGTGGTGCAGCACCCGGACCTTTGATTCGTGCGATACATGCATGTGTTCTGAGCACAGCTCTATACGGGACAGAAGCGTGGTGGCCAGGTCTCACTCGAATAACCACACTGCGATATAAAGAAGTCGGCACTGGAGTAGGCTAGCATATATCTCTACTGGAAAAAACGATAATGAAAACTATCAGAGTAGCAGTCCCAGCGTGGCGTACCACTCCCAATGGCGCTCTTCATAGTGAAGCGGGAATACCCCCGGCATCGATAATTCTTCAGCAAAAGATGCTGCGGTCCGCAGCTCGTATGCGAAGAATGGATGCTTGGCACCCTCTAGCCATTTGAGCGGCCGAGGATCCCAAAGAGACAATAAGACGCTTAGGTCTTAGATCGGGACAAAGAAATCGTTTGTTTAGACAACCAGAACGGTACATGACACGCCTACAAATGAGTGTGCGTCGAGTTCCGACAGCCGAAGGCCCCGGAAAGCTATACTTCCCACGTGGCACTCCAGCATTGATTCCATGTAGTCGAGAAAATGAAGCTAGGTATGGAAGCATAAAGCGGTGGTTAGCTTCCCGCCCAGCTAACACAGTCTTCGCTTTCTCTGATGGATCATCATCGGGTCACGGAAAATCAGCCTGGGGGTATGTAGTATACCAAGGAGGCAAGCTAGTTGCAAGTGGCTCCGGTCCACTTCCTGGAGCAAAGGTATTCAACGCAGAAGTTGTAGGTGCCATGAAAGCCTTGAAGGCTGCAATAGAGGTAGGAGAAGACTTACTGATCTGCATTCTTCTGGACAACCAAGCGGCAACCCAGGTGCTCGAACGAGGAAGATCTAACTCCTCGCAGTCGGTGGTGGACAAGTTTTCATCGCTGAGACACAATAAGCGTGTGGAAATACGCTGGATACCCGGGCAGGTGGGGATTCAAGGCAATGAAGAGGCCGATAAGCTGGCCAAATCAGCCTTGGGAGCTCCCAATAACCGGTCACTAACCTCAGCTGCGCCCATTCTAGAAGATCAAGATCTAACATTTGCGGCATTAGGGAGGTGGGCTAAACAGCGTAGCCAAGAGCTCGTGGAAGAGAGGTGGCAGAAGTATCGACCTAAACGATACAAAGATCTGGACCTATTCATGCGTTGCAAAAGACCACCGGAACTAGCTTTACCAAGATGGGCGTACCATCGTCTTATTGCGGCAAGAACAGGCCACAGGGACTATGCCGACTACCATCGACGTTTCAACCCCGAACATGAAGATCTGAAATGCGTTTGCGGCCGAGAGAAAAGGCCCTGGCATTTTTCAGAGTGCCGACCTGCTTTGCTATGGTAGAGAATCTATGAGAAAATGGCCCCACCTGGGGCTAGGGAAATGATAGGGGAGAAGGGATGGTAGAAGTTCATTCAATTCTTAACTACAAGCAGATGTTACAGTCTGCCGATGAATGAACAGGGTGGGAGGTGACCACGCTGAGATTGTTTCTGACCCGAGAGGAGATGGGTGTGGAAGATGGGGATGCAGCGCAGGGCACCGTAACTCAGACATATACTGTTCATTTTTTTTCTTTTCTTTCGTCGCTTCTGGCTCCACTGCCGGTCATGTAGGTAGCAATGAGCTTTCAGAGCCCACCTACCCGTGTCACGTCTAAATAGATGTTAGGTTCTTCCTGTCACGTAAAAGATTTCAAATTCAAATTCAATTGTCGGTCGGTAATATACACGTCTACGCGTACGCAATGGATCTCTTAATGATGTGTTGGTTCTTATCCTATTGCGACTTGCAGGCGTGTCGCTCATAATGTGGACACGCCCGCAAGTTAGTAGAACAAGAATCATCACATCATTGAGAGATCCATTGCTAACGCTTACACGTGTATATTACCGACCAACACTGATCAGTAGTCCATAAGTGTGACTATAGAACAGCTAAGTTGAAGAGACTGTTCTATCTACTCCGCGTTCCCTAATTAACTTCCGAACGATCAACGGGAGAGAAACGTGCTAAGAATACATTGTCAGTTTACAAGATTGTTTCTGCATCTAGGCCTTTGTAAGGATGCGCAATACAGTCACATTATCGGACGAACGACAAGATTATCGAAAGTTACAGCCTATAGACCTAGCCTGATCGATGACTTTACTGTTGTGCCTGTTAGTTTCTCTACTGTTTCTAGGATAAGCGCCATCCACGCTTCAATCTCAACATCCACACAGTAACTGCTGTCCACAAGGAAACCTGATTGCAATGACTTGAACAAAAACTTCAGAGGTAGAAGACGAAAATAGCATCAAAGACTACAAGATCACGCAGCTCGCCCTAAGTTTAGAAGGTACAAGCATCTCCCCTCGTCATTTCGACTCTCTAGATCTAGATTTCTGGGGCAAATCTGCCGATAAATCATCATCCGCAGTAGTGATTACCACCTATGCTGTCAAACCTCTTATAGATTGGGAGGAATACAAAGAATATTGCGAGTATCTATTTCTGCTGTTTAAGGAAGAGTTTGCGGACTGGATATCAGATATTTTCGGCAAAATCAAAAGTCCATTTAAGAAAATATTCCGAGATTATCTCCATAACAACGGTGTATACACAGGCAGAAAAGATAATACCAATCGGTATTGCAATGGTAACTCTACTCAAATCCGAAGAACTTTCAGAGTGGCCTCAAACAAAGGAGATAAATTTACCGGACCAAGGATAACAATTTCAACAGCCAAAGGTTGCGTCAAAACAAGCCATTTGTATGTCAATTGAAGACCAGGCTCTTAGTCCGGTGTTGTCAACCTTATAAACCACAACCTCCTTTCTGGCCCACTCGTTCATAGTCTCCTTACCCCTGGGAGAATGATCAACCACGACCCGCACCAGGTACTTTATGTCCTCAAAGACCAGCTATCAGATCTGTAGTAGATTACAAAGCTTTTGATGATTATATTGACCTCCTACCACGCAACGTTCCAAATGAAGGAGTTGATGCCAACACAAAAATATCTTTCATCAAGCTATGGAATTGTTATCAAAACTAAACTAGAGAAGCATATGATTTGCTAGACGACAAAGTGCGATATTTCCTTCGAAATTTTCATAATCTTTGCATCCCAGTGCAGTGTTTCTATGGTGTGTTTTCACACATTCTAGACAGTGAAACTCAAACTTTCTATTTGAGCTATGTGCCAAAAGACGACCCTTTCTATGATCAATATACAAATATGAAGTATCATTTCGACACGGAAACTAATTACAATCAATACTACACTGACTGGACAAACATTACATTGGCAAACTTCCGTAATAAGACTCCAGATAAGCCTCGGCAAGAAGTCCTCGATGCGTTCTTGAAGAAGAAACAGCTCTATCAGCGTGCTCTAGGTGAAATTTATAACGGTGAAAGTTTACTACAAACATAGACTATAACTAATGGTAAAGGTGTTCCAGAACTAGAGATAGCATTTTTCAACCCAGGAAAGATTTGTGAGGGATTGTTTTCATAGCCTCGATCTGCCATCAAAACCTAAAGTAATTGCAATCTAAATCATTTTACACAGTACAATGATGAGTTCACGGGGGATAGTCAGTTTCTCTTTGACCGCCGATACACTCACAATCGCTCGCATCGCGGTAAAAACTGAACTCGAATTGGAAATGATGTTGGAAATATTGCGCAATGAAATGGGCACATTATTTATGGAACGAAAGTAGAGGTTGACTAAAAGAGTGTCATATTCGGATTACAGCTAAAATTGTGGGAAGTTTGCACTACAAGTACAAGTGTAAGAGACACAGAGCCTAAGCCACAGCATAAACGAGTGTGGCGCCATCTAGGCATATAAAGCCCCAATAACCCCTTGTGCCCACGCCGCAGAGCTACTCATGAATCCAACAAGTATCCTGAAGTGCTGCCCTTTTACTCACTCCAACCTCTTAAATACACACAAGATCGTGTCGGGAACCTAGACAAAATTGGAGGGTTTGCACGTCCAAAACACTGTGTGTCTCCATTTCCAACAATTTTACTTGATAAAGTTTATTATTGGTATAAATGTCCTGACATCACTTTCTAATGTTAGTCATATATTAGTCATCGTTCATTATGAGTATTAGTATCTTTTGTTGAACAGGAGAATAGACAAGATCTACCAACATAACCGCAGAAACGTGACATACAGTTTACGTTCTTTGCACCATGTTTAAGTATCCCGATACTGATCAGTGAGAGCGCACAGATCAGGATATAATTAGAATTGGAAGAATATTGTTTGCCACCTTTAAATTCTATTTCAGCCGAAGAGGAGGAAGTATCTACCTGGAAGCTTGATAGCGTATCTTATCGATCGATTATCGCCGACGGGCTTGATTCTTCTTTAGCAGAGTTAATAATATCGAATTGGAAGGATATTGTTTTCCACCTCTTAAGATATATGAACTCTTTTAAAGCATAAACTCTAAAAATGACAGAACAAAATTGGAAGGCTTTAGAGGACAAATGGGATTAAGGAATCGATCTCAGCACGGCAAATCCTCATGATATCAGTTCCAACATAGAAACGAAGATTTATTTCTACGAAGAAGACAATACTACTAACTCAAATCTATGGGAACAGTACCAAGATGACTTCGCAACCTGTACAATAGCTGCTTTCAAAAGTCCCAAGCTCAAACTAATTCAACGACTACGAGACTACCTCTTAAGTAGAGGAGTTTTCGTAGATTGCAACACAAATAGGGTCACTATTTCATAGGCACTTTTAAATTGCGCAAAGGAAGAACAGCATAAATGGTCTGACAGCGATGTCATCAATGCCGCTGAACGATTAGAAGAGCCTCTGAAATCAGTAAAGCTGAAACGACGTCTAGATGCAATCCAAGTAGATAATATAATCATGGAGAAATACAGCGACGATGGCAGCGAGTTCAAGACTGAAAAACCTTCCGACCTGCAAGTACCCCTACAACCGATTTTGCCTGATCCAAAAGTACTATCTTCACAAACTCCGCAAAGAGTACAGGCTCTTGGACCGACGTCACCAATATCTCCTCCTAGGTACGTTGCGCAGATGTCGAACTTGATTAAGGTTTATTCTGGCGAGGCAAAATACTAAGGAACTGGGGATAGTATAGATCACAAATTGACGAATTTTCACCACCTCTGTGATCTCACTGGTTTATCCGGAGAGGTATATCCAAGAGCACTCGCAGTAATGCTGTTAGGATTCTCAAAAGAGCACTACCTCGCAGCAAATCTGTCGTACTTAACTTTTGAGCAAGCAGTTGACCATCTTCGTAACTTCTTTGAAGGTCCTGGTTAAAACCGAAGAAATCTAGGCAAATGGAACGGAACATCTCCAAAGTTGATTATGTCGCAAAATAAAGCTAAATCAACACCCGAATGTCTGCAAATCTTGGTCCAAACACTGAGAGAGATCCAGCATGGCCTAACAGAAGATCTCCGTACCAACTCCTTTATGCACGACAAGATTATTATTACGTACAAGAGCGTTCCAGCTGTCACAAACCATCACTGGGATGTCGTGTCGCACCCAGGCAACCGAGTTATGACGTGCATACAATAACACAATTTAGGTATTGTAATGGTTACAGTGTTGTGATAGCAACAGTTGCCATTCAGAGTACTAGTTAGTTACTGTGTTATGGCTGTAAACTACTACACCCTTGGTTAAAGTATTGAAGCTCGTGTACTTAAGGAAGCTCTAGGACTGGATGTGTACTGTAGCTTTTTGTCTTGGAAATTACTCATGTTTTAGAATCTAATTATTAATCTAAATATCTCGTCCTCATTATCAGCCTCTGTCTTCGTCTTAGTCCTCGTCCGTGACACCAGCTTGCAGATATGCCATTGCAAACCCGCCACCAAAAGTTGGTGAACTCTTGAATCAACTACAGAATTCTATAATAGCCTATGAAGGAGAAGAGAAAACTGATCAATTCAATGTCAACCAAGATGCATTCTTCACGGACAGACGATCTCATCAAACAGGTCAAGCAAAAACCAGTAAAAATAACGCGCAAAGCAAGAAATGTTGTTACGGTTTGACCGTGGTTTAGCTTAGGTGGAGACCTAAGTGGAGTTTGAGGGCGTATTAGGGAGAGTGTTTTGTATTATCTTGTATTTCATGAATAAGCAGTAGGGCATAATTAATTTGTTTTATTTCCGACGCAGTCTATATGACGGTAGGCTATTAGGGTAGTGCTTGATCTTGGTAAGCTAGTGAGTAGGTGTGGATGCAAGAGTCTAGAAAGGTAAAGGTGGTCTGGTGGTAAACAAGTAGTCACCACATCATCTCCTATGCTGAAGTGCTAGTGGTAATGTCCTGTGTAAAGTCTGGTAGGCGTGGGAGAGTTCTCTCTTCACGCAACGTCTTCTTACATTCTGTACACATATTGTACCACCTCACATCTCTCTTCCTTACAGAAGACCATTTCACTGCTATCCTATAATCATATTCAATATCCCTTCGTGCCCTAAGGAACGTTAGTAGTAAGCTCCCTGAGATCTGGACCCTTGAATCATGAACTCTGTCGAAACCAAGTCTGGTTTTGTTGCATGTCTTGAGTCCTAGTCGGTGACGAGCGCTGTCAGTGCTTTCCGTGGCCAGAAGTCGAAGCGGATGATAATCATCTAGTCTCCGGATTCGTGCGGCAGTCATGAGCCTGCGTTCCTCGAGCAGAATGTGTGCTGGTGGAATACCAGTCTCTCTTCTCAGGGATGCGATGGGCATGGTGCGCCAGGTTGGTAGGGCCACGCGGATTCCGAAGGCAGAAGTTTGGTCGATTACTTTGCACTGTCTCTTGCAAGAGTTGCGCGCGACACCCCGATATGTTTCCCTGGTTGGCCCCGGATACCAGGATTTCGCTGCGTGAATCGCGATTGGCAGGACTACCGTGCGGATCACTGTGGTTAGTAGGTCGGGCCTTGGTCCCTGGGTGCACTGAGTGAGCCGTCGGAAGTGTTGCACTAGCCGTATTGCTTTACTGGTCCACTTTGCGACGTGGCTTTCGAAGGTTAGACCGCGATTAAGGTGTACTCCATGCCATCGGATATCGTCGGATGCTTGAACATCGCGAGTGCCTAACCTTATAGCCGGAAGATCGTGACCCCTGGATCTGGGGCCGACGAAGTAGACTACTTCGGCCTTATCTGGGTCGAAGGAGACGGAATTTTCAGCAGCCCACCCAAGGACTGCATCGACTTCTCGCTGAATAGCTACTGCGGCCTCCGTTGGCGTCGAACCTATGCCGAGGATAGCAATATCATCTGCATAGTCGAATCTCCAACTACTGCCCCCCACGACTTCGGCCATGTACAAGAGGAAGAGAATTGGGGATAGGGGCGATCCTTGTGGCAGCCCGCATTCTAGGTGAATTGGGTCTGTTACTCCGTCCTCGTGTCTGACACGGGCAGATCGTTCTTTCAGGAAAGATTTTATCCAAGTGATAGCTGGTTTAAGCCACCCAACTTTATTCATCCTTTGTAACAGTCGTCCGTAGAGTACAGCGTCAATGCACCCTGTACGTCCAGAGTGACAAGGACTGCTTTCTTCTGCCTCTTCATTGCATGCTCCACATCGTGGATGACGCATGAGACGAGGTCATTAGCGGATCTTACGGAGAGTGCTCCAAAAAGCTGCTGCGGCACGGCCTTGTACGAAATGGCGGTGTAAGTCATTCGCCTTGCAACTAGTC